GTTAAGAATATGGAGGCAACCTCACCAATGTTCGATGAGATCATGTACCTGAAACAGGGTTTAAAACTTTAAATCAGGGAAACATACATGTCCAGGCATCTGACAAAAAGGAAACCTAAGTGAATTAACAAAATTTCCAGGGTTAAATGTCAATATTATAAAGTATCAAGATCTGTGGTCACTTCACCGGGCAGGGTATAGACAACTGGAAATCATCAGTGACACCATGCAATATGAATTTCTTTCTTATTCATTTGTTTATCATACCATGGTTTTGTCTTTTAACAAAACCTTTTTATATTATCATTCAGGAGCATTCTATATGTATGGCAGTAGAAAAAATGCTGGACAAATTTTATGAGGAAAAGAAAAACCATTGTTTTAGTCACATCTCTCTAAAATGCTAAAAAAACACAGATAACAAACGAACCTAATAAAAGCTTTCATATTGTTGTAGATAGATCTGCCTTCACCAACAGCAGCAACAATTGTGCTAAAATTATCATCCGCCAGAACCATGTCGGAAGCTTCCTTTGCAACCTGTCAAGGAGAAGAGATTGGAAAGTTTATGGTATGAAAGTGGTGAGACTGTCTAGAAGGAAATAAAGAGTTAGTAAATTAAGCTAAAAAATTAACAAGCAAGTAACATTTAAAAGACATCATTAACAATATATCTATGGTTCCTTATCCTTAGCCCTAATACTCATATGTTGGTAAAAGGGGTGCTGTTTCACAGAGCATTCCATTTACATCTCTAAGAATGAAATCTCAAACAAGAATATACTATATGCCACTTATCAATTTGCTTTGATGCATGTAATTACTAAACTCACTGTAAATTGAAGATTTAATTCATGCACTTGCCCTGTTAATATATTAAGTTACCTCTCCTAGTGGTTTTGATATGTAATTAAGTGCCTCCTAAAAAAAACAACTAAAGAAATTACCTCAGTTCCAGAAATGCCCATTGCAATCCCAATATCAGCAAGTTTCAAGGCTGGTGCATCATTCACTCCATCACCAGTCATGGCAACCACCTCACCATCCTCTTTGAGCAGCCTAACAATCTCTTGTTTGTGCTTTGGTTCAGCCCTTGAAAACAAAAGCCCCCCACTTTGTCTCAGATAGGCTTTCTGATCAGGCAGACACATAAACTCTCTTCCTGTAATGCTTCTTGGTTTAATGTCTTCACCATCACCAAACACACCTATTTCATGGCATATTGCTTCTGCTGTGTTCTGGTTATCTCCAGTAATTACCATAACACGGATTCCAGCTGCTCGGCAGTCTTCAATCGCATCAAAAACCTCCTCTCTTGGGGGATCCTTCACAAATTTATACAGCAATCAAGTTAGAACAAAAAATGATAATACGATGAAATGAATAGGTAAAAAGATGCAGAGAGGCCATATTACAACTCACCCTCAGTCCAACTAGGCCAACAAAAACAAGGTTGCTCTCAATTGATGAATAATTGGATGGATCAAGTAAAAGTCTATGAGCTGGATGATCTTCATCACCATCATAGGATTCAAAATCGGCGAGCTCATCTTTATAAGCAAAACCCAGACAACGTAATGCACTAGTTGACATCTCATTAAGAGCTCTTACAATAGTGTTCCTTGAGTTATCATCCAGTGGTACAACAGTACCGTCAAGCAACTGAACCTTAGTGCTTCTCTCCAACACATTTTCTACAGCACCCTGCAATATTGCAGCACCTCATTTTAAAAGTCCACAACATTTCCTTAAGATATATATTTTTACATGGAGAAAGAGCAAGGAAGTACGTGTGGGCAACGCAATTGCTAATGCTCAACTTATCTTTTCAGTTTCCAACAGTGAAACAGGCAGCATAATGTTACAGAAAA